GAAGGTGAAACTGTATAAAAAATGTATCTCATGCATGTAGAAGCCAAAAGAAAGTACAGACAGGTACACTGATATCAGCCATAATAGACTTTAAGCCAAAAACTGTAATAAGAGGCAAAGTCATTATATAATGGTAAATTCCTCTTCTTGGGCTCTAAAATCACTGCAGGTGGTGACTGCAGCCACGAAATCAGAAGATGTTTGATTCTTGGCAGGAAAGCTATGACAAACGTAGACAGTGTGTTGAAGAGACATTACTCTGCTGACAAAGTTTCGTATAGTCAAGGCTATGGTCTTCCCAGTGGTCATGATGGTTGTGCAAGCTAGACCTTAAAAAAGGCAGAGCACCAAAGAATTGATGCCTTCGAACTGTGGAGCTGGAGAAGACTTCTGAGAATCCCTTGGACAGCAAGAAGATCAAACCAGTCAGTCTTAAGGGAACTCAACCTGGAATACTTGTTGGAAGGATTGATGTGAAGCTGAAACTCCAGTATTTCGGTCATCTGTTACAAACAGCTGACTCATTGGAAAAGTCCCTGATGCTGGGAAAGATTGAGGGCAGAAGGAGAAGAGGGCGTCGGAGAATGAGATGGCTAGATGGCATCACTGATGCAATAGATATGAACTTGGGCAAACTTCAGGAGATGGTAAGGGACAGAGAAGCCTGGTATGCTACAGTCCCTGGGGTCTCTAAGAGTTGAACACAACTGAGCGACTGAACAATAGCAACAAATGGTAAAATAGTCAGTTCATCAAGAAGTTATAATAAATGTAAGTATTTATGCACCTACCATCTGATAACTTAAATATGTAAAGCAAATATTAACAGATCTGAAGGGGAAAATTGACAGCAATACCATAATAGTAGAGGACTTCAGCACCCCACATTCAACAACAGGTAAATCATCCAAAGAGAAAATCAGTAAGGCAAATAGCAAGAACTGAAAATGTTACAGCAGATAGACCTGACGGACATATATAAAACCTTCCATTCAACAGCAGCAAAAAATACACATTCTTCTCAAGCACACATTGAACATTCTCTAAGATGAATCATATATTAGGCCACAAACAAGTCTTAATAAATTTATGAATATTGAAATCATATCAAATGTGTTTTTCAACCAGGATGGTGTGAAACTGGAAACCAATACTAGAAGAAAACTTGTAAATTCACAAATGTATGGAGATTACACAGAATGTTCTTAAACAACCAGTGGGTCAATGAAAAAATCAAAAGGGAAATCGAAAGTATCATGAGACAAAGGAATATGGAAAAGCAAACACCACAACTTCCACGATGCAGCGAATTCAGATGTAAGAGGGATGGTAATGGTGATCAATATCTGCATTAAGAAAAAAGAAAGGTCTCAAACATCCTAACTTTACCTTCCAAGGAATTAGAAAAAGAAAAATAAATGAAGTCTGAAGTTAGTAGAAGGAAGGAAATAACTGAGATCAGAGCAAAAAATTAACAGAGAATGAAAAGACAGTAGGAAAGATGAGTGAAAATAAAAGCTGTTTTTTTTTTTTTTTAAGACAGGTAAAATTGATAAACCTTTAGCTAGACTAGGAAAAAAAAGAGAAAACTCAAATACAATCAAATACGAAAGAGGGGGCATTACTGATGATACCACAGAAACACTACGGATGATAAGCAACTCCTGTGATCCCAGCAATAATTAGATAACCTGGAAGAATGAATAACTTCCTAGAAACATACAACCTACCAAAACAGAATAATAAAGAAATAGGAAGTCTGAACAGGACAGTTATTAACAAGGAGATTGAATCAGTAATCAAAAACATCCCTAAAAGAAAAGTCCAGGACCACATGGCTTCTCTGGATGAATCCAATGAAAAATTTGAAGAATTAATAGCTGTCTGTTAGCGACTCTTCTGAAAAATAGAAGTGGGAACTCTTCCAAACTCATTTTACAAGGCCAGCATTACCCTAATACCAAAGTCAGACTTGGATACTACAAGAAAAGGAAGCTACAGGTTTAGCGTTTTGAATTTAGATGCAAAAATCTTCAACAAAATATTGGCAAACCAAATTCTTCAGTATGGTAAAGGATGATAGAACGTGATTGAGTAGGATATACTCCTTGGGATGATTTAGTAAGCAAATCAATAAATTGTTTTCTTTGAAATGGTTAATCTTATGGTATGTGAATTTCATCTCAATGAAAATAATTTAAGGTTGTGGAAATGCTCCATGCTGAGTGACTAAGCACAGCACAGCAAAGAAACAGGACACCTAAATGAAATATTGAGCTTAGAATGAATCCTTATGGTAGGGGAAGAGTTCCAAAGAATAATTTTGAGTCAGAATGAAACAAAATAAGAATACACATGTGAGATTAGATTTAAAATATTCAGTTAAGTTTGGTCACTCAGTCGTGTCTGACTCTGTGATCCCATGGACTGCAGCATGCCAGGCTTCATTGTCCATCACCAACTCCCGGAGCTTGCTCAAACTCATGTCCATTCAGTCAGTGATGCTATCCAACCACATCATCCTCTGTCATCCCCTTCTCCTCCTGCCTTCAATCTTTCCCAGCATCAGGGTCTTTTCCAATGAGTAAGTTCTTCACATCAGGTAGCCAAAGTATTGGAGTTTCAGCTTCAGCATCAGTCCTTCCAATGAATATTCAGGACTGATTTCCTTTAGGATGGACTAGTAAGATCTCCTTGCAGTCCAAGGGACTAATTAGCCTCCAACTAATAAATGAAAAGAAAAAAAAGAGTCTTCTCCAACACCACAGTTCAGAAGCATCAATTCTTCGGTGCTCATCTTTATAGTTCAACTCTCACATCCATACATGACTACTGGAAAACCATAGCTTTGACTAGACAGACCTTTGTTGGCAAAGTAATGTCTCTGCTTTTTAATATGCTGTCTAGGTTGGTCATAGCTTTTCTTCCAAGGAGCAAGCACCTCTTAATTTCATGGCTGCAGTCACTATCTGCAGTGATTTTGGATTAGACTTAAAATATTGCAACATGTTAAATTTGCTGAGGAGGATAACCATACTGTGGTTAAGGAAGACATTACCTTTATTCTTAGGAAAAACATATTGACATATTTAAGGGTGAATGTCGTGATGTGTACAGTCACATGGGTCAGAAAACATGTGTGTGGTTTTAGAAAGAGGCAGGGCATGCTTACACATGAAGTACAAATGTTAAAGCAAATGGAGCAAAATTCAACATTAGTGAATCATTGTGAGGGATATTTGGGTGCTCTGTGCACTGTTCTTGCAGCTTTTTTGTATGCTTTAATTATTTCCAAAGACAAATATTTAGTGTTATCTCTTAGGTGGCTCAGTGTTAAAGAATCTGCCTACCAGTGCAGGAGACACAAGAGACACCTGTTCAGTCCCTGGGTTGGGAAGATCCCCTGCAGAAGGAAATGGCAACCTTCTCCAGTATTCTTGCCTGGGAAATTCCATGGACACAGGAGCCTGGAGGGCTACAATCCACAGGGTCACAAAGAGTCCAAAATGACTGAACAACTGAACACACACATGTTATTCAGTTTAATAAATGTGGCATCATGATTATAGTTGAAACTTCTTGTGTATGCCACCTCATCCCAGAGATAAATACTATCCTTTATTTGGTCCTTTTTATTCCTGTATATATCTTTATATGGACTATGTTTGTATTGATATATACCTGAATGGTATATAGTAGCATTTTGTATGGTTTTAAGCAATATATAAATGCTATCATTCTATAGAATCACTTTACACCATAGTTTCCTCACTCAACTTTATATTTGGAAGAGTTGTTCACACTGATATATTAGCACTAGCTCTCTTATTTTCAGGTTGTAAAGGTATCCCTAAAGTCTTAGTGATGTTTTAATCTTAAAGTCATAGGTATAAATGTTATTGGCCTACCCCCCACAAAAGCCATATCACTTGAAAATATTTAAATTTCGTTAATAATTATTTAATTTTATAAATTTTGAATAATAAAATTTTAGTTTTAGTTTTTTGTTTCAGTCAACATTTGCCATCTTCAGTCAGAAGTTTAATTTTTAGTAACTTAAACTTAAATTTTACTATAATTTATTTTTCATTCTTATATTTGGGATGTATCCACTTTTTTCATTATTTAAATACTTCTACAGTGTTCCTTTTTGTACCTTATCTTCTTGGGTACATATGAAAGTTTCTATGATAAATAACTCAAAATGGAATTATTAAAATTACTGCATTAACTAGATACCAGGGTATGTGCATGTCCATCTTAACTTACTTTATGTTTGTCACAGCAGTGTATATGATCATTCCTTTCCCTACCATCCTCATAAAAACTTAAAATTGTCAAACTCTAATTTTGGCTGTTGTAGTAGGTTTAAAATCATACCTCCTGAATTTTTTAGTTTGAATTTTTCTGATTATTAAAAGTGTTGGAGCTTCTTTTCAGGTTAATCAGCCATTTTGATTTCCTCTTATGTAAATTATAAATTCATGTTATTCTCCTATGTTGCTTTTTTCTTGCTTTTAGAGGAGATTTTTCTAAATTGTCAACTATATGCTATTTTCAAGAAGTAGAGAAAGGTTGATGTAAAAAGTTGAAAAAAAGATATACTAGGAAAATTTCAACAACAAAGCTGGTTTAGTTATGTTAACATCAGACAAATTAACTTTAAAAGGGAAAAAAGCTGTTAAAAGAAGGCCAAGCATCTAAAATAGAAATTTAAGTACAGACCTTGGAGATGAAGTAAAAAAGAAGGTAATAGTATATTTCCAATTAACTAATATATTCAATGAGTGTACACTGATTTGAAGAATAAGACAAAACTGAAAGTTTGGGAAAACAAATACCCATAGGCTGTTTGGAATTCATAGTTTAACTAAATATTTTTCTTCAGAGACTTTTTAAGTATTCGCTTTTTCATTCCATGTCATTCTAAGGCTATGTTTCTTGGCAGCACATAATAAAATTAAATGCATTTGGTAAGAATTTGTTCTTTGTGTTTTCAGGAATTCAAAATGTCCTCAGCCTCTTTTGTGCAGTCCTTACAGAAAATAAGGTTCTCTTCCATTCTGCAAGTTTCCAGAGACTTAGTGATGCTTGTAGAGCCCTGGAGTCATTAATGTTTCCTCTTAAATATAGGTAAGGGTTTTTATTTGGTATTTTTATTTACTCCCAGATTATGCATTCCTTATCAATAATCAATCAAAACATCATTTCACAACAGTTTTGAATGACAAGGGCATATTTTACAATGTTATGCTGTTACAAGAGTCATTATTCTGATGGAAATCTAGCCTGGAATTTGGAACTTTTCCAAGTTGCCTATTATTGAGTGTTGATTCCTTTCATGAAAAATTAATCAATTTGAATAGTATTGTCAGCAACATTTAATTCCCTTTGAATATAGTTGGAGATAAAAGTCTTAAGATAGTACTATCTGATTATTTAATATTAAGAAATTATTGTTAATTCAGGCAGTTATAGTGGTATTATAGTTTTACTTTTAAAATAGCCCTTACCTTTTTTACATATATACTAAAGTATTTATGTATACATGATATGGTATCTGGGATTTGCTCCAAATAATGTGGTAGGAAAAAGAACAAAAATGGGTAGAAATATATATGTGGCCATGCATTGGTGATTGTCAAAGCTGATTAAATACATGAGGCTTTATCTTCCTTTTTTTTTCCCTCTATTTTGGGGGCAGAGAGGTATGTTAGTTTTTTTGTAATAAAAAGTATAAAGGAAAACAGTGATGACTGAGAGTGCTGTAAGTACAATATTTTATTCTAATATATTTTTTATCAATTTGTTAATCACAGTGACCTAGAAAAAATTTAGACAGTCTACAGATTTTATTAAAAATATTTTTTAACCTGTGTGCTTTTTTAAACCTCCAGATAAGAGAGCATTCTAAACCTTAATTTTTTACCTACCCATTGTTACCAAATATAAAAATCTAGTAGAGAAAATGGAACTCGAATGATTGTTTTATATAGAGAAATGCATTATCACCAGTATGTGGGGGGTGGGGAGATGTTCCATCAGGAAGTCAGTGTTACCAACTGATGTCAGATCTCTATGTAAGGAAAAGTTCTTTCAAGCAAGGTTGAAAAACTTAAAGAGATTGCTTGCCTAGAGGGGTAAGGGATAAGAAAGCTGCCCTGCTTACTTCATATCCTCTTATATCAGATCATACCTTTCACATGAAGAATTTTTAAAATCTTTTTTCTCCCAAGAATTTAACAACTCTGAGAATATTATTAATAATTTCTAAACACAGATAATCTGAAATTCATAAAGTATAAAAATGAAAGAAAGGTATGTTGTATTATGGAAGAACAAATATATCTCATGTGTATTTTTATTATTTCTAGTTACCCTTATATTCCTATTCTCCCGGCTCAGCTCCTGGAAGTTCTGAGTTCCCCAACGCCTTTCATTATTGGAGTACATTCTGTCTTTAAAACTGATGTTCATGAACTTGTAAGTATTCATCTTTAATTGCTAGTTATTGAGGTCAGAGGTTTGTTACATTTCTTTGAGTCCTGCCTGCCTGCTAAGTCATTCCAGTCCTGTCTGACTCTGTGCGACCCCATGGACTGTAGATTGCCGGGCTCCTCTGTCTGTGGGATTCTCCAGGCAAGAATCCTGGAGTGGGTTGCCATGACCTCCTCAGTCCTACAGCACTTAAACTAATTACTATTTTCAAATCTGTTCCATTCCCAATAGAAAAGATTGGCTGGAAGCACAGCATCATTAAAAAACCTAAATACATTAATTTTTCCTTACAGCAAGTACAGGAGATTTATAAAATGAATTCATTAATATTTTAAAATTTCTTCTTTTGGCATATTAAGTTTATCTTTCTATATTCTTCATCTCATATATGAGAAAAAAAGAAAAAATTATCTGTTATTAGCAGTCTATTTATGCTTTTATTATGAGTACTTTAATTTATTCATATTTTGAAATGAGGTCTGTGATAATGCTACCCACTGCAGTATTCTAGCCTGGAGAATTCCATGGACTGTATGGTCCATGGGTACACAGAGTCAGACACAACAGAGCTACTTTCACTTTTTCACTTTCAGAAAACAAAAAGCATCTGCAAAGGAGTAAAGGGTTTTGATGGAATGCAAGTTTATTGTGAGCCCCACCCCACCCCCAGATTATTCTGTTCTTAATACTAAATGGAAATACTAAAGGAGAGAAAGTAATACTCTGTATTCAACCAGCTCTTAAAAACAAGTTTACTTCTCTGCAGTGTGCTTTAAGAAGGACTGCAACAAAATTGAATTTCATAGAAGGGCATTTAGGATGTCAAAAGTTTAGAAACCGTATTCTTTGAGGGCCTAAGAAAATTTTCTCAGGTAATAACGTAATGTTATTTAATAGCTAAAGATAAATATTTAAGTAGCTGTCATAGAAAGAAGGGTAGAGACTGAAAGAGAATCAGTGGGTATAGTGGATATACAAACAAATTTCTGCTCAGTCTAAGAGTTTTCAGCTAAATAGAGCTGCCCAGTGATGATGAATGTGTCTCCTAATGTGAATAGTACTCTAAGTAGAGTGCAAAGACAGATTGCATGACACCTTTCAGGGAGTTTAAGAAAAATTCTTCACTGACAGGTTGGGTTATATGACATCTGTGATTCATAAATCCTAAAGAGTTTGTTATTCTAATTTTATTTTAGTTATAAATGCCAGTGAAGAGGTAAGCTCTGTAGGTAAGCAAGCAAGCAAGCAAAGTCGCTCAGTCGTGTCCAACTCTTTGCGACCCCATAGGCTGTGGCCTACCAGGCTCCTCCATCCATGGGATTTTCCAGGCACTTTTGTATAATTACAATTGTAATCAAATCATAATTGTCATTTAAACTGACAGAAGACCATTGCACATTGCAGTTATAAACAGGACTCTCATTCTTTTTTCTGACTTTATGTATTGATATCTGGTTCCTTTTTAACTTTGATATCAACATATAAAAATATCTGTAATTCCATAAACATTAAGTGAAACCTCATTAGTACTAATTAAAAACACACTCATCTGGTTTGTAGGCATTTTCCCAGTAAATAAAAACAGCCTATGGAAGTTAGACAAACCAAATATTGACAAAAGTAAATTTCTTAACTTTTCATTGAATAAATTAGAATTAATTTTAATCCTGTTAGCAACATAATACCTTCAATAATTTTGACTGGTTTCTCTATTACATTTTTCATGTTATTTTAAAATAGATTTTGTAAAATGCTAAAAATCAGTGTTTTGGCTACCTAAACAGTACTGTTTTGATGTATACTAGTCGCTTTGCTTGTTAATTCTTATGATTACTATGTTATTTAGGATATGGCTGAACTACTATAATAAAACATGCAAAATGCAATGGCTTAAACAAAATGAAATTTTATTTAACACTCATGCAGCAGTTTGTAGAAGTGTTCCATTATGTCAGACCAGTTTATTCCATGAACTCATTCAAGGAAGGACCACTCTTCTTTGCTTCTTGTTTCTCCACTAGAATCCACTCAGGCATTGTCATCCTCTGAATATGTTCAAATTGGGTTGTTAGTTCATAGTTTCAGTGATGGTAAGGGGAAAGAAAGCATAGGAGGGCCTGACTGGACCTCTGTTTTGAATGCCTGAAAATGTGCACATCACTTTTCACGTTCCATTAGCAGAAACTTAGTCATATGCCACATCTAATTTCAGAGGAAACTGGGAAATATACAGTAGCTGAAAATCAATCTAGAAAGACATTTTATTAATTACAGATTTTTTTTTTATCTTCTTCAGTTAGATGTAATCATAGCTGATTTGGATGGAGGCACTATTAAAATTCCTGAATGTATTCACCTCTCTTCCCTTCCGGAACCACTTCTACATCAGACTCAAGCAGCTCTTTCTTTGGTATGATATATTCTTTCTTAATTTACTTAATTTCTTGAGGTATTTTTCTCTTGATTTAAATCTAAACTAAGGTAATTGGATATCATTCATTGACAGTGTAATTACTTAAAAATGAGAGTTATATGTTCTTAAAATATGTATGTGTATTCTCATATAATGTTAGAATAGGATAATTTACAAAATATTATCTAAAGAGTATACTTTGAACCCTAAGTGAATATTTGTTCTAGGTATTAGAAACACACCTCTGAAAACAAGACCAGACTATGTCTCAAAATCCTTGATTCTCCTAACATCCCTCATTAGAAGCTAGCGTCTGTTCCCTTTCATTCACCTTTCTTAATGACATCTCATTTCTCTTCGGTAGATGTACTCCTTGCAAAGCAATGTGATAAGGACTGGCCAGTGTTTCCAGCTTACTACAAAAAGATGTAACTTCTTGATAAATGTCTAGTATTCTGTGCATTGAAGCTATAAAAAAATCTTGTGATCTAAGTATTTCTCATTGAAGCAAATTTATTTTTTGTCAACCTTTGTTTATTTCTAAAAGCAAAAAGCACAGTATTTTATTTTACTGACAACATTTTAGTTGCCCACTTATCCATCATCAGAAATTTGAAACTTAGAAATTCTTCATTCCCTTTCAAGCCATTACTAGAATTAAGGCTTTCATATTCTTCTTGAATAGTATTCCAGTCTGAGCTGTTTAAAACCTTTTTCCCCCTTAAATAGGAACTTATATAGGAACTCAGAAGTCTAGGATTACCAGGAGGGGTTTTATTTTCAGAAATTTCCAAATTTGTGTTAGTCCTTGTGTTGTTATAGTGGTATGTGTAGGACGGGAACTTTTAGAGAAGACTGACTTTTCCCAATATAATTTGTACTCTAGAATACCAGGTGTGATAGAGTAAAAAGCATACTAGGTTAGAACTTAGGAGACCTAAATTCCAGTCAGCATCTTGCCACTGGGTATTTTTGAGCAAATTACATTCCATCCTCTATTTCCTAGTCTTTATCAGTAGGATGAATGTTTTATACAAAGGATGGCAAATGCCTGTTTCCTAGAGTGAAGTATGGAGATGATTTGGTGTGGTATGTGGCAACTTTTTAATTTTAGTAATTATGTATTTATTATAATGTTTATTTTATTAAAAATAACACACAAAACCTGTGATTTCACAGATGATATCATCTAAGAAAATACTGGATATAAAGAGATGAGTTGATTTAAAGACCTTTCAAAGAAAAATATTAGCTAAACAATTGCGTCGGTGGTATATGGGTAGAGCAAAAGCTAAGGAACATAGTATTTGAGTGACTGAAAAAAGTTTTATGTTCTAGAAATGTTAAATAAGTTTAAAAATATTAATGTACATTTACTTAATGATGTTTTTCATTATTCAGGGATTAAGTACCAAAATTAACAAAGGTTAAGATTTTAGTTCTTAAGTCAGTGACTTTTGGTAGAGGTTTTGCTGTGCCCTGTTAAATCTTAACCTTCAACACTTGTGCCACCAAATTTGATCAATGAGTAAAATTCAGTGTTGGTAAAACTGAGTATGCCTATTTATGCAGTTTTCAAACACTTTGTTGGATCATATGCTACAGTGTACATAAGCGTATAGGACTAAAACAATTTCATATTTGATGGACTGTGTGGGAGATTTGACACACAAGTATATCAGCTTCATTTGGTCAGTAAATAATTATAATCAGATGGTTACACAGTATAATAATCAGGGACATGTTTATAGACGTGAAGATGTTATTATACTGTGATAATGATTTGATGACTAGATTATCAATATTATTGATATTTTGGTGTCTTTCCTAAATATTATTTTGAGCTTTTTGGTCTATCGTAAGAATATAATACTGAATCTTCAGTATTTGAAAGTGATTCTGCAAAGACAAAAATTTGCTGCTTACTGATGCAAAATTATTTTCCCTGTGTAAGCCCTGCATGGATGTGTCTTTCCCACCTGCCCCCTCAGCCTGCCTTCCTTCAAAGCCTAACACAAATGTTGCCTTCTTTTTTTTCCTTTCTCTAGGTTGAATTAATTATACTTTATGTTCATATATTATTATTTTATATATTTATAATACTTGTCACATTGTGTTATACTGTCACCCCTCTGGACTGTGAAGTTCACAGACTTATCCTGTTTCTTCTCAGTATTTTAATTAATTAATTTTTAATTGTATTTAAAAAACATAAAAATAAATGCTTTAGATTTTCAACTGTATAGATAAATAGCTCTGCCCTAGACCATTCTCTCTCAGAGATGACTAGTCTTTTATATTTTAGTGTGTATTTCAGAACTGTACATTTTCATTTGTATGTGTACCAGTATAATATAATACTGGTAGCTCAGTACCTGGCCTCCCTGTCAGCTCAGCTGGTGAAGAATCTGCCTGCGATGCAGGAGGCCCAGTTCAGTTCCGTCCCTTGGAGGAGGACAGGCTCCCACTCCAGAACTCTCGGGCCTCCCGGGTGGCTCAGCTGCTAAAGAATCCGCCCACAGTGTGGGAGACCTGGGTTCGATCCCTTGGCTGGGAAGATCCCCTGGAGAAGGGATCGGCCATGTTCAAATAAATGAAACCAACTGTGTGTTTTTCCCTGCAACAGGTATTTTAATTGAATATTTCTTTCTTGAATATCTTTTCACATAGTACATGCAGAGCTGCCATTAATGTATTGTATTTCATGGAGGGGATGAATATATTGTAATTCACGTACTGAGACTGTTTCATCTTAATGCCACCAGTAGATCAAATAATAGGTTTTATTGATATTTTACATAACAGAGCTTCTTTGCTTTAGATTCTACACCCAGATTTGGAAGTAGCAGATCATGCTTTTCCCCCTCCACGAACAGCTTTATCCCACTCAAAAATGCTGGTAAGAAGTTTAATATTTAAGTTTGATGTTTTTAAAAAGAGTTGCTTTTCTTTGTATGTTTTTCAAAGAAGCTAAGTATAGTGGGAGTTAGATGGACAGCCTAGTAATTCGGAGACTTGCCACTGATTGACCTTGTGGCCTCCTGAAGGGGAAGGCATAGGCAGTACATTGATTGGGAGGGGAGTAGGCTAAGACTGTTGCTCTGAGGAGGCATGACCACGGATGGGAGAAAAAAATCAGAACCTAGATTAGAGCCTGAAAAGTCGTGCCAAGCATCAAATTGAAAGGGTCAGGCAAGGATAAAAAAGGGAAGATTATAAAAAATGGAAACAGAGGTCGTTGGTCACAGGAGAAAATCAAGTTTGGGCGAGTGGATAAATGTAGTTCCAATTGAAAGTCATAAGAGAGTGACCATACAGCAGAGACCCCTTTTTTATTTTGATCAGTGGATTTCTTAATGATGAGCTTTCCAGCCAGTATGGAAAGTTATAGAACTGCATACCTTTGATGAGTTATGAAGCATTTTTAACTCTTTCTTCATCTATTAAATAAGGGATTGACTAAATCTGAGAGTTTCCATAGAGTTCTAAAACTATGATTTTTTTTTAATCTGAATTATCAAAACACATTTTCAAGTCATACTTTATTAATGTAAGAATAGATTTTTAGAACTTGTTTAGTTAAACTTTGGAATAAATATCATTAGCTTTTTAAATAGTGTTGAGTTTTTTCTTTTGTATTTGTAACAGTATTTCTTTTGATGGAGATAAAAATCAAATGACTTGGGAAATATGCCCTTCTCTAACATGGTGAAAGCAGAGACTCTCTGATTTATGTTTTTTTCTGAGAGGAAAATTGGATGTACTAGAGGAAAGTTTTACTAGGTTCGATTTTTAAAGGAACTATTTAACGGCCTACACTGTCCAACTGTGGGACAGACTAGGTGCCCACTACTTAGTGCTGCTACAAATGAGACTTCTGGATAGGAAGCACAGAATTATTAAATAATCTCTCAGGTTCTTTCCAACTTTCTGATTTTGTGATTTTTCTTTTGCTTTTTAAGAAATTCAGTTATCTAACATGTATCTTCTTATATTTTCAGGATAAGGAAGTGCGTGCAGTTTTTCTTAGATTATTTGCACAACTTTTCCAAGGATATAGATCATGCTTACAGCTTATAAGAATTCATGCAGAACCAGTAATACATTTTCACAAGGTAAGATCTAATACCATACTTATCTGTCCAAAATGTAAACTCTAATTTAATTAAAAGAACTTGGCAATCTTTTTCTAGCCATGTATTTTGAGTTTAATCTATCAAATTTGTTTATTTAAAATCTCTGCTTTCTGTGGCTAGTTGATAATTTTTTTCTTTTTTTAATTATTTTTATTGGACTATAGTTGATTTACAGTGTTTTGTTAGTGTCAGGTGTCTGAGAATTTTTAATAATACTGTGGAACTGATATATTTTCCTTTAGAATATGTTAACTTTAGATTGATTTTTCTTTTAAAATTGAGGTTATTTCTGATTTCCACTCCTACTTTATAGACAGGTTCATTTTTATTCAATACATCTAGTATTTCAGGTATCAAAGCCCTTTTAGAGAGAAATGTATTTTATAACAACATACTTATGCATGAAGATGTTTATTCAGGCTTTGATCTTTCTAGTATGTTTTTGTTTTGACCATTCATTCATCCATTGCTAAGTGATAACTTATTCATTTCACATTGTTTTTCTTTACAGACAGCTTTCTTGGGACAGCGTGGTCTAGTTGAGAATGATTTCCTCACTAAAGTTCTCAATGGAATGGCATTTGCAGGTTTTGTTTCAGAAAGAGGTCCTCCCTATAGATCCTGTGATCTCTTTGATGAGGTATACTTATTATCAAATGAATGCATTATTTACAGACAAAATTAGTAGATAAAAGGAGAGAAGCAGTGTTTTAAACATTTAATTAAGATTAAAAAATATTTATTGTGCATATCAGATCTTTGTGTTTATAATGTGGATTAGAAAAAATATAATTATAGGATATCTCAGAAGTAAAATACATAGAAATTTTGAACAACTGAATACTTTTTTGGCTTGTGGGATCTCAGTTCCCCAACCAGGGGTCAAACCTGTATCCCTGCGTTGGAAGCTCAGAGTCCTAACTATTGGACCACCAGGAAATTCCCTTGTACAACTGAATTTTAAATAGTTGATTAAAATCTTTTTGAAAAATTGACAGTGATTGTATAGGTAGAACTTACAGTTTTATAGAGAGAAAGGTCTAAGTTTAATGTATAAATATGTTATTTCAAACTGCAATTACTTTAAATCTGTGTCCTAGAGCCATAGTTTAACTAAGCCGTTCTTATTTATTTATTTATTTATTTATTTATTTATTTTTACTGTTATCTTTATTTTAATCAAAGCTTGGAAAATAAAGTAAGGAGGCCACAATTTCAGTTTCTCCATAAAAGAACCACAAATCAGGGTGTTTTCTTAAGTACTAATCCTTGGAAAATATAGCAAATTTCAAGTAAGAATTAGCACCTTCTTTGCATTTAGCTAAGTCATTCTTAACTAATGCTGATTTTTTTCCAGGATTTGTGTAGCTTCTTTGAAAGTGAAAGTGAAAGTTGCTTAGTGGTGTCCCATTCTTTGTGACCCCCATGGATTATACAGTCCATGGAATTTACCAGGCCAGAATACTGGAGTGGGTAGCCATTCCCTTCTCCAAGGGATCTTCCCAACCCAGAGCTCGTAGTTCTTTTCAGTTCAGTTCAGTCGCTCAGTCGTGTCCGACTCTCTGCGACCCCATGAATAGTTGCATGCCAGGCCTCCCTGTCCATCACAAACTCCTGGAGTTTACTCAAACTCATGCCCATCGAGTCAGTGATGCCATCCAGCCATCTCATCCTCTGTCGTCCCCTTCTCTTCCTGCCCCCAATCCCTCCCAGCATCACGGTCTTTTCCAATGAGTCAACTCTTCTCATGAGGTGGCCAAAGTATTGGAGTTTCAACTTCAGCATCAGTCCTTCCAATGAACACCCAGGACTGATCTCCTTTAGGATGGACTGGTTGGATCTCCTTGCAGTCCAAGGGATTCTCAAGAGCCTCTTCTCCAACACCACAGTTCAAACACATCAATTTTTCGGCACTCAGCTTTCTTCACAGTCCAACTCTCACATCCATACATGACCACTGGAAGAACCATAGCTTGACCAGACGGACCTTTGTTGTAGTTCCTTTAGGAGATATTAAATATATGAAAGGCAGATTTAGTCTCTATTTTCAAGGAATTGGCCATATAAAGGAACAGTTAGAGCAGATGCAACTCAAAATAAGGATGCTATTTTGTGTTAGTTTTGATTTTTCTTATTGTGATGCATCTTTCCATTTATCATTTAACTATGTTCATAGAAGCCCATTCTGATAGATAGAACAATGACTCTTATTCCCATTTAAACTTCTAGAAGAGCATTATGTTAGAACCAAGAAATGTAAAAGTTCTCAGAAGTGTGTAAAAGAAAACCACTCCTAGTGCCCAGAGTAAGAGAGAACAGTAACAGTGGTCACATTATGCTGCTAGTGGTTGTTGTCGTTCAGTCACAGTTGTGTCCAATTCTTTGAAACCCCATGGACTACAGCACACCAGGCACCTTTGTCCTCCACTATCTCTCAGAGTTTGCTCAAGTTCATATCCATTGAGTTGGTGATGCTATCTAACCATCTCATCCTCTGTTGCCCCCTTCTTCTTTTGCCCTCAGTCTTTCCCAGCATCAGGGTCTTTTCCAGTGAGTTGGCTCTTCAAGTGATGTGGCCAAAGTATTGGAGCTTCAGCCTCAGCAACAGTCCTTCCAATGCATATTCAGGGTTGATTTCATTTGGAATTGAGAGTCCAGGGGACTCTCATGAGTTCTCCAACACCACAGTTAAAAAGCATCAATTCTTCAGTGCTTAGCCTTCTTATGGTCCAACTCTCATATCTATACGTGACTACTGTAAAAACCATAGCTTTGACTATATGGTCCTTTGTTGCTGCTGGTGGTTTTATTTCATACAGAGAAGTTAAGAATCTTTGTTTAGAGAAGGGTCTTATATTCTCTGTAAAGACAGTTAAGTAAAGTAAGAATAAAGGAAAAGGTACATGCTTTAGTTCTGAGTATGGAGATCTACACCAAATGCTTTACATAACACAAAACATGTGAAGATCTCGGAGAGAGTGCCCTGAGGTAGACAGTTTTTTCTGATCACTTGTTGATCTCTGATTCTCTAATATGATTGATCATTGATTACCTAATACTAACATATATCACCCTTTAGATCTTGAACTAAGTAACTGATACATAATGATTTATGTGGATGAATTAGGTGCTCCCCAAAGCCCTTTCTAGCACCTACATTTTATTAGTCTCAAGCATTTGAAATAGTAACTTGGGTTTGTACCCTTTTTCTTTCTATACAAATTCCTTTAGTAATACTCTCTCACAGCTTCATCACAACTAATAAGTCAGATCGATTACTTCCAGAAAACTTGCTTGCCAGCTTGCCACAGACTCTATTTTTGTAAGTGCTTCCCTTGCCCAAAGTTCTCTCTTTCTACTTTTCTGTTCATTTTTCGTACTCCGCTCATATTTCACCACCTCCTACAGACTTTCCCCAAGCAGATGACTCTGAAAGCCACTAGTCAGCATTAAACTGTGTTTTATGTCTCTAACTTTATATGGCAACTTATCTTTTATTATGTACATTTATATACACAACAGATACATATATATATGTGTGTGTGTGTGTGTATATATATATGTTCTTCAGATTGAAAAGAATAATATGACGAGGACCTGTCCAAGATGCCTAGTAGACTAATTCCTGTTAGTCTTCCCTTAGTGTTCACCTCTTTCTGTGTTCAGTACAGTGATGGTTTTTAATGTCTTATTGATGTCACTACTTGAAAGCCAGTTACTCATATATATACTTCTGTCAAGGGCCTAAAAGAAATGAGACTTCAGACCTAAGTAATTTCTTTTTCTACTCTCTTTGGCCACTTAATTGGCTTGCAGGGGAATGTGCTTTTAGGAAAATTGCATTTGCTCTTGCCTTGTTTTCATTTAGCTGAGGGCAGCCTGCCAGACACAAGGCTTATGGAGTTTTGAGCAGTTTTGAGCACTGTCTATTGTCTTATCCACAGACACCCAACAAATAGACCTGTTAAAAGGAAAGAAGCATTTGACTTTCTTTGGCAATCCTTCTGAATGCTGGCCTACAATAGGTGGAGTCATAGTTTTATATGTCTGTCTGCTCCCGTGAATCTATTAGTTGCTAGAATGAAAATTCCTATATTATACCCTTTTAAAAAATCCATCTATTTACTTCCTCCTCATACCTCAGTTTTTCCTGTCAGTACTCTTTGCTCCACTCCAAGTGTACACACTAACATGGTTCTTCCAGTAAATTAGTTGGCAAGGAAATGGACCAGAGGTTCTATAATTTGAGAACTAGAAAGAGCCTTAAGGTCATCTTGTTCTTACATCTTATTTTAAAGATGAAAAAATTGAAGCTCAGGAGTCTTAGTAACTTGTTTCAAATCACGCTGTTAGCAGAACTAGGACTAGAGTGACCCAACTTGAACATTTAGTTCATATTTTGTGAGTTAGGGAAATGTTTGGAGAATTTCTGTCTGTCTGAAATTCTCTGAGTGAGGCCTGGAGAATGAGAGAATCTCTCGAGTTCCAAAAATAGTGACTTTCCCAAGAAAAGACAGGACTCTGAGTCATCAGAGAGAGACCACCGGAACATCCGAGGACTTGATTAACTCTAGAATAGATGTGAAACCCAGTAAAAATCTAAAATACTTTGTTTTAATAATAATATACATATTGTATGTGTTTTAGTTTACAAATTGTGTGAAATTATCACATGTTTTTCTAATTCAGCATATTTTAGAGTTGATGCTTTATCATTTGATTCTTTTTCCTAGGTGGTAGCTTTTGAAGTAGAGCGAATTAAAGTTGAAGAAAATAACCCAATGAAGATGATAAAGCATGTCAGAGAACTTGCTGAGCAACTATTTAAAAATGTACGTAAGTATATTTATTTAGATAGTCATTATTTTTAAAGTATTAATAAAGTATTTTCTTTGAAAAATTCAAAAGCTTCATATTCCTAGTGATGATATTTTTTGATCTGATTTAAAACCTTTGAGACTATGAGTTCCAAAATATTGGTACTGTGCATCAAAATAGACCTCATTTTTCAAAGTGATTTTGCTGTCAATTGATATGTTATGAAAACATATTAGTCCCAATTTTCCCGTTTATCACTTGCCTTCATTGTGATTTTCATTTAGGTCTCTGTCTTCTTAAGAGCATATTGAATATTTTTGAGATGTAAAGATTAGACTCATGGAGACCAGAACTACCTGAGACAAATTTGACCGATGTATTCTGCTTTAGCTTGGTACAGTGACTGTCCATTGTATCGTGAAAAACTTTGAGATGCATTGTTTTGAATATACAGGAGTGAAAAGCTTAAAGAAAGAAAACTGTCAAGTGCTATAGAAACTTAAGGGTAAAAGTATTCCTTGATGAAAGAAATGTAGTAAGTTAAAGATTGAATGTGTTAAAGTCTGTTTTTGGATACCAGGAAAGAAGAGGACTTATGATGCATGCAGAAAAGTGGATACTGGCCAGTGATTACTAGTTATTTCTCCTGCATGTGAAGATTTTCAGAGTTGAATCTTTTTACTAAGAAAAGGAGAGTGAGAAGTATTGTCTTCCAGTGTAAAGTTGAGGGGAGATGTATCTTAAAGAAAATATAGTTAAGAAGGATTTGGGGTCAGTATCCTGGTATTGCTTAATTAACTTCATATTTGAATAGGTGGGTCTTTTTGGATGTCGGGTGATTAATTAGTGGGTTGTAACATCCTTTCAAAATCTAAGAACTGGTTGGATAAAAGCAGGATACTAAACTGTTTCTCTGTTTCATGATTATTCAGTTATTTATCAATTTTATTTCTGAAGTTATTTTAAAACTTATCCCTTGGACTGATATCCCAAATTTCACATTTACAACTGTGTCCAAGATGATAAGACTGTTTCTTGTTTAGTATGCTAAAACTTAAAAAAAGAGTTCTATCAGAAGGAAAACTTGTGTTCTGTGCTTGACTTTGCCATTTATGGTGACTGTATAGAACTAATGTATAGGGTGATCATGTGAGAAAATTCTGTTGACCTATTGTAATAATAATAAATATTGAGTGTTTAGCACAACGTGTCAGGCATAGGATTAAGCACTTTACATACATTATCTCTAATCTTTACAATGTAAGATAGGTGTCATTATCCCCATTTTACTGGGAATAATTGATTCACGATCCCATGGTTATTAAGTGATTGAATCCAGATTTTAAATTCAGGAATTTTCATCTCTACAATACCTAAGACTATGTTCTTTCACTCCCATTAGGCTAACTCATCTCCAGTTGGACAAATAGTGGTACTTCAATGGTTGACTTTATACTTTTTTCTCTATAAAGCTCTTTAATGTATTTTCTCATTTCATCTTGTAAATAGCCCTTTGAGATAGATAGGGCAGATGTCGATATGTTAGGAAATTGAAGATTAGAAAGTTTTTTTCTTTGTTCACTAGGAGTGATTTATTTATGCATTTCAGAGAATAGCAAAACATTAAATGGGAAACAATGTTTGAGACTGTGGGACTGATCTCTTTAATAACTGAATGTTTATTTCTTAACTTTTTACAAGATTATTCCAGAACTGCAAAATTCTATAGCCAGTAAGTGACCAGAGCTCTGAGGTTCTGACACAGGTTTGTCTCTTATCACACGACTGAGTATGCATTGTAAGGAAGGGCGTGTGCCAAGCCATTATAATGCCAAAACAAAGTAGCTTAAATATATAATGATAATGTAAATTTAATCTATAACTTAATGATACCTAACTTACACTAAACCAACACAAAACTGAAAACTGAAGTGAAATAAGTGTCTAGTAATTATACATTCTTGAGAGTGAATGTAAAACACAAACAACTTGCATCTTATCAGACACTAGTAAGGCGCTCATCATGAGGAATTGTATTATTAGGTAAGATACAGATATTGCTCTTCAAATGTTCTCTCATTTCTTGAGCCCTTATTGAGCTTTTTCCCCTCCACAGTCTAATTCTGTTCCATTTAATTTAATCAAATCTGCTCATTCAGTATTGTATATTAGGCACCTACTAGTTCCAGGCATTTTCTAGGTACAAGATTCCACTAATATCCTTGAGAAGAGGATACACATATATGATGAATGAGTATTTGGGAATATCCCAGTGGACTGTCATCAGACTTTATGAGATTCCTTTCAGTTCTGTGATTCTAAAGTTCTTGATGGTCCTAACATTCCTAAAATAAATACTTAAAAAGCAGTCACAATGGTAAAGTTACTTTCTTGGGTTGTACAGGAAATTGGGGGGGGAGGCAGATGGTCTCAACGCAAGAAGAATAATCCAGATGTTTCTCTTTTTAACTAGTCTTTTTTTTTTTAATCATCACACTTCTAAAATTCCCTTTTGGCAAGCAAAAGCCAACCATATAATTTGACTGTTCCCTTATTATTGGGTTAGAATTGAAACCTGGTTATTCCACTCAGTTGATTGTAAATACTTTATTGCACAGAAGTCTGGCATGTGTATCTAGCCTCTCTCTTTTACTTCCCTTTGATGTCCCTCAGATACGAACCTTAATTGTTCACTTTCTTATCACCACTCCTTTATTGTGCTATTCAGAGACTAGGAATGTGAGTAGACATGAGTAGGATGAATTGCTGGGTTTAGCTGCTCTTTTAACTTTCTGAAGCTTCCTAAATAATTAAAAGTTTCTGGTGAGTTTGGGAGGGGGAAGAGGAGGTGGGATGAAGAAGGAAAACAAATAAATCCATTAGAGACAAATGGGTAAGTGTTGGCAAAGTTATACCATGAACATTTTCATTGGCCATGTATTGGTACAGTTTTTCTTTCCATGCCCAGTTGATAATACTGTGACTGCCTATCTTGGTTTTCAGAATCTTTGATGTCTGCATATTTGTCATCTTTTTTTTTTGTGTCATCTTTGATGATAGCATATTTAGCTCCTCCACTGCTCTTTCTCTATGAGTCTTAGTATACATTTATAATAATCAACTAGCTAAATGCAAAATGAGAATATTAAAATAGTCCAGAACAAGAACTTTATAAGCATCCATTCTGAGGCATGAAGAAATCCATTGGACATGTGTTTTGCTGGTTTACACAGTTAACTTTTTCTCATTTGTTTTGCCTCTGTGGTAGTACATAATCATTTGCTAGATTGTGTAACTTGTCTGTTTTCTTAAAAATTAAAGGAAAAATGAGAGGACTTGGACTTTGTTATAAAATAATATGAGATTTCTATTTGTGTTTAATAGGTATTTCATTGCCCAGCACTGAAACAAATAGGTTTGAAAATTCTAATGAGAAAAGAAAGCCCAAATGCAGGAATAACCATTCTAAATCAATTAGGTCTGTTTCCTTTACATTACTGCAGAAAGTTAATTTCACTACTAGGCACATTTGATCTAAACTGATGATATTTGTACTCTTTGCCAACTGTGAATAAAGGGATTTCTAATTGTTGTTTTTATAGGAAAGAAGTAAAATATTGCAATCATCTTTCATCTTAAAGTTAAAACATAAACACTTAGATTGTTATGATGAAATGAGGCACTCAACCCAAAGCATAAAAATAAAATTCCTTCTTCCACCCTATTTGATTTGTTTGTTCAATTTTAAGTCAGATTTACTGTGATATAATTTATGTATAGTAAAATTTACCATTTATAATGTACAATTAGGTAGATTGTGACAAATGAATGTAGTTATACAATCACCACAACACTAAGGGCATCGAACATTTCTATCTTCCCCCAGATTTTCTTAATACTCCGATATAGTCACATCCTCCTCTTACTTCAGACTCTTGACAACTGATCTGTTTTCTGTCTCTGTAGTTAGTTTTTGCTTTTTTCATAGTATCATTATGTAGTTTTCTGAGTTTGCTTTCTTTTTGCATAAGGCATTTCACATTCCTGTCACTGCATGAATCAGCTAGTCCCTTTTATTGTTGAGCACTATTCCATTGTACGGCTAATCAAACTTATTTATCTGTTGAGCAAATGAAGGAAAATTTTGGCAGTTGTGAGTAAAACCACCCTAACCATGTTCACAGATTTTTGTTGTTCAATCACTAAGCCATGTCCAACTATTTGCAACCCCATGGACTGTACCATGCCAGGCTTTCCTGTCCTTCAATATCTCCCAGAGTTTGCTTAAACTCATGTCCATTGAATCAGTGATGCCATCCATCTCATCTTCTCTCACCCCGTTCTCAATCTTTCCCAGCATCAGGGTCTTTATCAGATAAGTCAGTTAGCTCTTCGCATCAGGTGGCCTAAGTATCAGACTTCAAAGTATTGGAGCTTCAGCATCAGTCCTTCCAATGAATATTCAAGGTTGATTTCCTTGAGGATTGACTGCTTTGATCTCCTTGCAGTCTAGGGGACTCTTAAGCGTCTTCTCCAACAACACAGTTCAAAAGCATCAGTTCCTCAGTGCTCAGCCTTCTTTATGGTCCAACTCTCACATCCATACATAACTACTGGAAAAATCATACCTTTGACTCTCAGACTGTTGTTGGCAAAGTGATGTCTTTGCTTTTTAATATGCTGTCTAGCTTTGTCATAGCTTTTCATCCAAGGAGCAGGTGTATTTTAATTTCATGGCTGGAGTCACCATCTGCAGTGATTTTGGAGCCCAAGAAAATAAAATCTGCCACTGTTTCCACTTTTCCCCATCTAATTGCCATGAAGTGATGGGACCGGATGCCATGATCTTAGTTTTTGAATGTTGAGTTTTAAGCCAGCTTTTTCACTCTTCTCTTTCAGCCTCATCAAGATGCTCTTTAGTTCTTCTTTGCTTTCTGCCATTAGGGTGGTATCATCTGCACATCTGAAATTATTGATATTTCTCCTGGCAAATTTTATTACAGCTTGTGAGTCA